CGGGCAGATCACTTGAGGTCAGGAGTTCGAGACCAGCCTGACCAATATAGTGAAACCCTGTCTCTACTAAAAATATAAAAACTTAACCGGGTGTGGTGGTGCACACCTGTAGTCCCAGATACTCAGGAGGCTGAGGCAGGAGAATCGCTTGAACCTGGGAGGCAGAGGTTGCAGTGAGCCAAAGTCACTGCCACTGTACTGCAGCCTGGGTGACAGAGTAAGACTCCATCTTTATTTATTTATTTATTTATTTATTTATTTTTGAGAGAAAGTCTCATGTAGGGCTGTTGGGAGCTGATGTAAGGCTGAGTGCCCCACAAGGTTGTGGGGTGAGCATTATGCTGTGCTGAGGCGCAGGATCCAAGAAATAAAGAGACAGAGAATAAAATAAATTAGAACTACATCCAAGATGGCTGATCGCTAACATCAGATCCAAGATGGCTGATTGCTAACGTCTCAGGATTGCAGCTCCCAGTGAAAGTGCAGAGAACAAGAGGACGCCACACTTTCAGACAAATTTTTTTCGCTCATGGACCAGAAGATTCCCAGTGGAGGAGCCCCACAGTTCGCCAGCACGACTCTTGTGGCCGGCGCAGCGGTTTAGCCGGCACCTCAGTGCGGCAGCTCTTGGTGCAGAGTAAACGGGACTGGTTCCCCTTCTGACTGAGGTTTGGAGCTCTGGGAAGGCAGAGTCGCCTATTACGGACTCAACAAGGAAGCCAGACTGGAGGTTCCTGGGCAGAAAAGCAGCATCAGTTTTAACACCGCTGTTTTGGCCGGCGCAGTGGGTTGCTCATATTTCGGCCCTGGGAATTAACAACTTGGACATCCACCCAGAGACCTAATTTGAAAGTTGGTAATTACAAAGATGACAGGTAGATAAATTTACAATGATGGGAAGAAACCAGTGTAAAAAGGCTGAGAATACTCAAAATCAGAATGCCTCTCCCTCTAAAGAGGATCACAGTTCCTTATCAACAAGGGAACAAGGCTTGATGGAGAACGAGTGCATTCCATTAACAGAATCAGGCTTCAGAAGGTGGCGGCTAATAAGAAAATTCTGTGAGTTAAAAGAACATGTTGTAGCCCAATGTAAAGAAACTAAGAACTTTGAAAAAAGGTTTGACGAAATCCTAATGAGAGTAGACAATTTAGAGAGGAATATAAGTGAATTAATGGAACTGAAGAATACAATATGGGAACTCTGAGAAGTATGCACAGGTTTAAACACTTGAATTGATCAAGCAGAAGAAAGGATATCAGAGGTCAAAGACCAACTTAATGAAATGAAATGAGAAGACAAGATTAGAGAAGAAAAAGTAAAAAGGAATGAGCAAAGTCTCCAAGAAATGTGGGACTATGTGAAAAGACCTAATTTGCATTTGATAGGTGTACCTGAATGCGACTGAGAGAATGAATCCAAGCTGGAAAATATTCTTCAGGATATTATTCAGGAAAACTTTCCCAACCTAGCAAAGCAGGACAATATTCAACCCCAGGTAATACAGAGAACACCACAAAGATATTCCTCAAGAAGAGCAACCCCAAGGCACATAATCATTAGATTCACCAGGGTTGAAACGAAGGAGAAAATACTAAGGGCAGCCAGAGAGAAAGGTCAGGTTACCCACAAAGGGAAGCCTATCAGACTTACAGTAGATCTCTCAGCAGAAACTCTACAAGCCAGAAGAGAGTGGGGGCCAATATTCAACATCCTTAAAGAACAGAACTTTCAGCCCAGAATTTCATATCCAGCCAAACTAAGCTTCACAACTGAAGGAAAAATAAAATCTTTTATGAACAAGCAAGTACTCAGAGATTTTATTACCACCAGGCCTGCTTTACAAGAGCTTCTGAAAGAAGCATTACACACAGAAAGAAACAACCAGTATTAGCCTTTCTAAAAATATACCAAAAAGTAAAGAGCATCAACATAAAGAAGAATTTACATCAACGAATGGATAAAACAGCCAGTTAACATCAAATGGCAGTAACCCTAAATTTAAATTGACTAAATCCCCCAATCAAAAGATAGAGGGTATGCTACATCCAGACCCATTTCACATCCAAAGATACACAAAGACTCAAAACAAAGAGATGGAGAAAGACTTACCAACCAAATGGAGAGCAAAAATAAATAAATAAATAAAAAGCAGGAGTTGCAATTCTCGCATCTTATAAAATAGATTTTAAAGCAACAAAGATATAGTGGTAAAAGGATCAATGCAACAATAAAGCTAATGACCCTAACACCCAGATACATAGAGGCCTATAAAGAGACTTAGACTCAATGAGACAGAAAATTAATAAGGATATCCAGGACTTGAACTCAGATCTGGAACAAGTAAACTTAATAAATATTTATAGAGCTCTCCACTTTAAATATACATTCTTGTCAGTACCACATCACACCTACTCATAGGTTTAAATGAAATATTGATCGGCCATTATTAATACCCATTTATAGAATAAAGCTACATTTCCATCTCTCTCCCTCTTTTTCTTCCTTTTTCTTCCTCTCCTTCACTCCTTTTTTTTCTTTCCTTCTCTCCTTAAAAAAAAAAGTGCAACCATCACCACTATCTAACTTCAGATCATTTTCATCACCCCCGCCCCCCAAAAAATAAAGAAAGAGACAGGACACAGAAGTACAAGAAAAATGCAGCTGGGCTTGGGGGAGCCACACCACCTATAAGCAGAGTCAGGCGAGGACCCTAATGTCCAGAAGGCTGAGTATTTATTGTGTATAAGTTAGGGGGCAGGGCAGTGAGTGAAATCATCTTTAAGGATAGTGATAGGGTCGTGAGCAATAAAACAAGGGGTCCATCCCATTAGGTCACCTAGGCCAGAAGGTGCACAGTGCACAGCAAGGGGCCCGTTCCCACGAGGGCAAGGGCCATGTGCAGTAAGGGGTCCACCCCCATTAGGTCACCTAGGCCAGGAGGTGGACAGTGCACAGCAAGGGGCCTGTTCCCACGAGGGCAAGGGCCATGTGCAGTAAGGGGTCCACCCCCATTAGGTCACCTAGGCCAGGAGGTGGACAGTGCACAGCAAGGGGCCTGTTCCCACGAGGGCAAGGGCCATGTGCAGTAAGGGGTCCACCCCCATTAGGTCACCTAGGCCAGGAGGTGGACAGTGCACAGCAAGGGGCCTGTTCCCACGAGGGCAAGGGCCATGTGCAGTAAGGGGTCCATCCCATTAGGTCACCTAGGCCAGGAGGTGGACAGTGCACAGCAAGGGGCCTGTTCCCACGAGGGCAAGGGCCATGTGCAGTAAGGGGTCCATCCCATTAGGTCACCTAGGCCAGGAGGTGGACAGTGCACAGCTAGGGGCCTGTTCCCACGAGGGCAAGGGCCATGTGCAGTAAGGGGTCCATCCATTAGGTCACCTAGGCCAGGAGGTGGACAGTGCACAGCAAGGGGCCTGTTCCCACGAGGGCAAGGGCCATGTGCAGTAAGGGGTCCATCCCATTAGGTCACCTAGGCCAGGAGGTGGACAGTGCACAGCAAGGGGCCTGTTCCCACGAGGGCAAGGGCCATGTGCAGTAAGGGGTCCATCCCATTAGGTCATCTAGGCCAGAAGGTGCACAGTGCACAGCAAGGGGCCTGTTCCCACAAGGGCAAGGGCCATGTGCAGTAAGGGGTCCACCCCCATTAGGTCACCTAGGCCAGGAGGTGGACAGTGCACAGCAAGGGGCCTGTTCCCATGAAGGCAAGTAAGGGGCCCACCCCCAAAAGGTCACCAAGGCTTGAAGGTGGGCCGTGCGCAGTGAAGAGGATGCAGTGTGCAATACTTCTATCTATGGGCAAACTACTTCTAAGAAGATTTATAGGAGGATGCTTTAAGTCACATAGCAGTGACAGAGCTGTCAGGGTTACCGCCACCTTCTGGCAGCTTCCAATGGGTTCTATGGGAAGACGCTTTTCAAGCAGCACAGTAGCAAGAGCTGATAAAGTTCACAGTCACCAAGGTGGATTGCCGGGCTAAGGGCAGCCTTCCACAAGAACTGGAGCAAGGTCCTCCAACTCCTTTATCAGGAGGAGTGGCTCTCGCCCCAAGCCTGCCATGCAGCGGGTATCTTTACGATACTGAACGCTGCCACCTGGGCCTCGGATTCTTGTCCTGGTGTAACTGTTTTCCTTTAAATCATGCTCTGCACTGTGTCTGCTCTAGACATTCCTCCAATTATGAACTAAGATATAATTATAGCTATATATGTAGGGAAATATTCTTTAGGCACTCATACAATCAACTATTATATGATTATATGTAGAGGATTATATAAAGGGATTTGTCAAGCCCTAATTCTGTAAACTAACATATGACTATGTAAAAGATTATATAAAAGGAAATAGCTGAGTAGTAACGCTATAAAGTGAGATATTCCTCAAGCCCTAACTGTGCCAGGGTTCTGCTTAGCTCTCATTCCTCGGTGCCTATATGGGGGGTTACCCACAGCCTCACTCTGTTGCCCAGGCTGGAGTGCAGTGGCACAGTCTTGGCTCATTGCAACCTCCGCCTCCTGGGTTCAAGTTATATTCCTGCCTCAGCCTCCCAAGTAGCTGGGGCTACAGGCATGTGCCACCATGCCCAGCGAATTTTTGTATTTTTAGTAGAGACGGGGTTTCACCGTGTTGGCCAAGCTGGTCTCGAACTCCTGACCTTCAGTGATCCACCTGCCTCAGCCTCCCAAAGTGCAGAGAGTGGGTCCATCCTGAATTGATTTGTGATGTCTGCCCAGAGCAGTGTGTTGGGAGGTGAGACTGGTGGTGTCCAGGCTTGGTGAATGGTGCAGGGATCGGCTAGCAATGTCTGCCACGGGTGGGAGCTTGAAGAGAGGCTTTTTGTGAGCCACCTGTTCAGGATTCCTACTTGAGATGTTTGTAGTCTCTCTGGGAAAATACAAGTTACCCATTGAATTTCTGAAAAAAAGAAAATGCAGGGAAGCCCCTTGGTGCCTGGGCTTCCCCAGGTATGTCCAAGAGTTCATCTCATTTCAGAATTGGAAAAGGCCCTTGGTGCCAGTGATGTATCCTGCACTCTGGATGGCTGCTTGGAGGTCCCATGGGAACAGGAGGAAGCAGGTGGGGAACGTCACAGGCTTCTGGAACATGCCAAAGTGATTGCTGGGGGTGGGGAGGTGGGGGCCTGCATGGGGTGTATGGGATTGTCGTGAGTGTGGGTTCATGGATGGCACAGAATGTACCTTGCTTCCTTACCCAGCCAGGCTGGCCAAGCTCATCAACAAGCACAGTGGGAAGTTGTGGGGTGTATCTGAGCCACAGAGGGACCCTATAAGGCAGGCCTCTGACATGCATGTGAGCTCAGCTCTCAGGAGATTAAATTGTGGTGAATTTGTGTCCCATCTCTTTTTTTTTTTTAAGGAGTCTAGCTCTGTCGCCCAGGCTGGAATGCAGTGGTATGATCTCAGTTTGCTGCAACCTCCATCTCCGAGGTTCATGTGATTCTCCTGCCTCAGCCTCCCAAGTAGCTGAGACTACAGGAGTGCACCACCACACCTGGCTAATTTATGTATTTTAGCAGAGACAGGTGTTTCACCATGTTGGCCAGGCTGGTCTCGAACTTCTGACCTCAGGTGATCTGACTGCCTCGGCCTCCCAGAGTGCGGGGATTACAGATATGAGCCACGATGCCCAGGCTTTGTATTTCATCTCTAATGCCAGGACTTAGGGGACATCTCCCAAGGGCTACTTCCTGTTCCCAACTTGGGAAGGGAGACTGTAGTGATGGGGGCCTTAGTTTACTACCAGCAAGAGCTTGCAAGATGGGCATAATTTGGGGGATAATTTTTTATGCAGCAGTAGCTAACTAATACACTTCCCAGCTGATCTGGGACAGAGAAACTGATCAATATTTACACTAACTTGAATGAATAAACAGTCCTAGAAAGACTTCTAAGGGCAGGCACAGTGGCTCATGCCTGCAATCCCAGCACTCTGGGTGGATTGCTTGAGCCTAGGAGTTTGGGATCAGCCTGGACAACATAGCAAGACCCCGTCTCTACAAAAAGTTTAAAAATTAATTGGGTGTGGTGGAACGCACCTGTAGTCTCAGCTACTCAGGAGGCTAAGGTGAGAGGATTACTTGAGCCCGAGAGATGGAGGCTGCATTGAGCTCAGATTGCACCACTGCACTCCAGCCTGGGCCACATTGAGAGACCCGGTCTCAAAAAAACAAACTAACAAATACAAACTTCTGAGCATCAGAATATTTGAGGATTTGCAGTCGGAGATGAAGGATTGCGGATGGGCCCCTGAATCCCTTTCAACAGAACCACACCAATTGGCATTTGGTTTCTAGTCTTTTGCACTAATTCCCAATGCCACAGGGAATTATCTTGCACGTACCGTTTTTGCAAGTGCAGGTTCCCGGGGGCAGATCCCGCAATATGAAACCTCTGAATTTAAAGTGGGCGTGTTTGTCATTTCAACAGAAGGCTGTCCACCAGGTAGCCTCACCTGCTGCCCCTCACCTTTGTTCAGGAGGTTTAGGAGCTGCTTTTAGCTCCTTCTCTGAGAACCTTCTTTCCTATCCTTCACCCTTTTATCTTTTGGCTGCTTATACATTTCTTTTTTTCTTTTTTTTTTGAGATGGAGTCTCTGTCACCTAGGCTGGAGCGCAGAAGCAGGATCTTGCCTCACTGTAACCTCCACCTCCCAGGTTCAAGCGATTCTCCTGCCTCAGCCTCCCAAGTAGCTGGGATTACAGGCACACGGCACCACACCCAGCTGATTTTTGTATTTTTAGTAGAGACGGGGTTTTACCGTGTTGGTCTACTGACAAATGACTTCAGGTGATCTGCCTGCCTCTCCTCCCAGTGCTAGGGTTACAGGCACGAGCCAGTGTGCCTGGCCTATGTTTTTGTTTTTGTTTTTTTTTGAGATGGAGTTTCACTCTTGTCCCCTGGGCTGGAGTGCAATGGCGCGATCTCAGCTCACTACAACATCCACCTCTTGGGTTCAAGCGATTCTCCTGCCTCTGGAGCAGCTGGGATTACAGGCATGCACCACCATGCCCAGCTAATTTTTGCATTTTTAGTAGAGATGAGGTTTTACCATGTTGGCCAGGCTGGTCGCAAACTCCTGACCTCAGGTAATCTGCCCCAAAGTGCTGGGATTACAGGCGTGAGCCACCGTGCCCGGCCAACATTTCTATTAACTCTGATTTTTTTTTTTTTTTTTCTGAGATGGAGTCTTGCTCTGTCCCCCAGGCTGTAGTGCAGTGGCATGATCTCTGCTCACGGCATCCTCCACCGCCCGGGTTTAAGTGATTCCCCTGCCTCAGCCTCCTGAGTAGCTGGGACTACAGGCAGGTGACACCATACCCAGCTAATTTTTTTGTATTTTAGTAGAGACCAGGTTTCACCACTTTGGCCAGGATGATATCGATCTCCTGACCGAGATTCGCCTGCCTCGGCTTCCCAAAGTGCTGGGATTACAGGCGTGAGCCATTGTGCCTGGCCTATTAACTCTGATTTTTTAAGTACTTATTACATACCAGATGTCTGACATGTCTGACTTTTGGATGTCTGTTTGATATTTTTCATTATACAGATGAGGAAACTGAGGCTGAGCGAGGAGGAGCGGCCTGTCCCAGGCAGCCAGGCTCTGGTGCCCAGATCCAGCCACTCTGCCCACCACTTTCTCGAGGAACCCTCCACAGCTGAATCTTCACCCGAATCTATCTTGTTTCTATTGGATAAATGTCTACAAGCAGAATTTTGGGGCCAAAATGGATGTGCCATCTTTAGGCTTTTGTACCCACTGCCCCTCCAGAAAACTGTGCCATTTCCTACTCCGAGCAGCAGCATTTGTGTATTTTTTCCAAGTCTTTTTTTTTTTGAGACAGAGTCTTGCTCTGTCGCCCAGGCTAGAGTGCAGTGGCATGATCTCGGCTCACTGTAACCTCTGCCTCAGCCTCCTGAATAACTGGGATTACAGGTGCCTGCTGCCATGCCCAGTTAATTTTTGTATTTTAGTAGAGACGAGGTTTCACCATGTTGGCCAGGATGGTCTCAAACTCCTGTCCTCAAGTGATCTGCCCGCCTCGGCCTCCCAAAGTGCTGGGATTACAGGCAAGAGCCACCGAGCCCAGCCCATTTTTTTTTCTAATAATAGAGACAGGGTCTCACTATGTTGCCCAGGCTGGACTTGAACTCCCGAACTCAAGCAACCCTTCTGCCTCGGCCTCCCAAAGTGCTAGGATTATAGGAGTGATCCACCCTGTCCAGCCTCCAAATCCTTTCTCAACACGAGGACTTTTCATAAAAAGAAAAAAACTATGCCAATTAGACAGACACAGAAATCTCATTCTTCTATTTTGAATTTCTTTGACTAAATTGAACTTACAAATAAGTTTATTATGGCCGGGCTCAGTGGCTGATGCCTGTAATCCCAGCACTTTGAGAGGCTGAGGCTGGCAGATCACTTAAGCTCAGGAGTTCAAGACCAGCCTGGCTAACATAGTGAGACCCCCCGCTCTCTACAAACAAATACAAAATTAATAGCTGGGAGTGGTGGCTCATGCCTGTAATCCCAGCACTTTGGGAGGCTGAGACAGTTGATCGCTTGAAGACAGGAGTTTGAGACCAGCCTGGGCAACATGGCGAAACCCATCTCTACTAAAAATACAAAAAAAAAAAAGCTGAGCTGAGATGGTAGATTTAGCTATTCACCTGAGCCTGGGAAGTCAAGGCTGCAGTGAGTGGTGATTGTACCACTGCACCCCAGCCCGGGCCATGGGGGTGAGACCCTGTCTCAAAAAACAAGATCGAATATGTTGATTAGCCGTTTGCATGTCTGTCGTTTCGTTTTTTTATTTTAGTGAATTGCCTGTCCACAGCTTTATTCTACTTTTCAGGAGTGTTTAGATTATTCTTATTGATATCTAATCACTTTTTTTATCTGGAGGCTCTGAAGGCTTCGTGATACAGCTTACAGATTTTTTTTTTCTCGGCTTGCTGTGAGCTGTTTGGGTTTGTTTCCTAGCTGCAAATCTTAACTTGGTATCAAGTTTCCCGGCTGGGAGAGCAGTTTTTCCCGACCTCCCTCTGCTTGCCAGAAAAGTCATCTGCTAAGTAGGTACTGGCAGGCTCTCCACTCTCACGAACATTGCAGCTGCTTCCGGAGTGGGTTCCACAGGGATTCCCCTGTGTTCTTGGTTCAGCTTACAGAGGGACTGTCACACTCCATGGAGACAGTTTCCTCCCATTCTGTTGGAGTTTTCAGCCTCCCCTAAGACAATGAGCTATTCCTGACCTTTCCAGCTATTTCCCTCCAACCTCACCTTCCGAAATACATTTGCACTTCAGAGTCTACTTCAGCTGTCTTCCTTTTACCCTGGACGGGGTGAGACCGGATGTAGATGTTAATTCTGGAACAATTACAGCCTCAAGAATTTGTCATCTTGCTCCTTTTGAGAAAACCATTGTTTGCCCTGGGGTCTTTTTCTTAATATGAAAAGATCTTTCCTCGTCAAGTCCACAGAGTGTAAATTTGTTTTCAACTTTTTTTTTTTTTAAGATGGTGTCTCGCTCGGTAGCCCAGGCTGGAGTGTAATAGTACGATCTTGGCTCACTGCAATCTCCACCTCTTGGATTTAAGAGATTCTCTTGCCTCCGCTTTCCGAGTGACTGGGATTACAGGTGAGCGCCACCATGCCCGGATAATTTTTTGTATTTTTTTTTGAGACGGAGTTTCGCTCTTGTTACCCAGGCTGGAGTGCAATGGCACGATCTCGGCTCACTGCAATCTCCGCCTCCTGGGTTCAGGCAATTCTCCTGCCTCAGCCTCCCGAGTAGCTGGGATTACAGGCACGTGCCACCATGCCCAGCTAATTTTTTGTATTTTTAGTAGAGACAGGGTTTCACCATGGTGACCAGGATGGTCTCGATCTCTTGACCTCGTGATCCACCCGCCTCGGCCTCCCAAAGTTCTGGGATTACAGGTGTGAGCTACCGCGCCTGGCCTGTATCATTCTTTTTTCTTTTCTTTCTTTCTTTCTTTCTTTTTTTTTTTTTGAGTCGCAGTGTAGCTCTATTGCCAGGCTGTAGTATAGTAATGTGACCTTGGCTCACTGCAACCTCTGCCTCCTGGGTTCAAGCGATTCTTCTGCCTCAGCCTTCCAAGTAGCTGGGACTACAGGCGGGCACCACCACGCCCAGCTGATTTTTGTTTTATTAGTAGAGATGGGTTTCACCATCTTGGCCAGACTGTCTCGAACTCCCAAATACAAAATCAGCTGGGCGTGGTGGCAGGTACCCGTAATCCCAGCTACTTGGGAGGCTGAGGCAAGAGAATCGCTTGAACCCGAGAGGCAGAAGTCTGAGATGCAGTGGCACAATCTCAGCTCGCTGCAACCTCCGCCTCCAGGGCTCAAGCGATTCTCCTGCCTCAGCCTCCTGAGTAGCTGGGATTACAGGCGCGCACCATCACGCTCAGCTATTTTTTTTGTATTTTTAGTAGAGACGGGGTTTCACCATGTTGACCAGGCTGCTCTCGAACTCCTGACCTCAGGTGATCCGCCCGCCTCTACCTCCCAAAGTGCTGGGATTACAGGCGTGAGGTCCAGAACCAGGATGCCAAATCCACGTTGCAGCAGAGGAAACTGAAGCTCAGGTCTCTAGGGTCCCAAACCAGGTCCTAAGTAGCCAAGCCCGCCGGGTGGCACAGCCCGGGTTTTATACTTGGGGAAGTTGGGGCGCATCAGGTTGAGGTCCGGGTGGTAGGAAGCGACTGGAGGAAGCGCGGATTCCTAACCCTAAAGCTAGCCTTAACTTCCCTTCCAAGCTCTCCCTCTCCAAGCGCTCTGTATCTTTAAGGATCATGCGGGGGCGGGGCGTCTTGGGTGGGGCTGTAGGTGACGTCACTCGGGTTTTGAGTCTCTGAGAGCGTCTGGAGGCGGGGCCTGGACTCCTCCCCTTTAAGGCGAGCGGCCGGGCGGGGCCCTGAAGACTTTTTTACCGTGCGGCCGGCGTCCTCCGGCACAAAAACGACTTAAAGGAGACGCGTGGCGCGATGGCGGCGGCCCCACGCGCGCGACTGCGGCGCGGAAGGCCGCTCCCGGCGCTGCTGCTTCTGCTGCTGGCGCCACTGCCGCCGGGAGGCCCGCCGGGCGCCGACGCCTACTTTCCCGAGGAGCGCTGGAGCCCGGAGTCGCCCCTGCAGGCGCCGCGCGTGCTGATCGCGCTGTTGGCGCGAAACGCGGCCCACGCACTGCACACCACGCTGGGCGCACTCGAGCGGCTGCGGCACCCGCGGGAGCGCACGGCGCTATGGTGAGCCGAGCCTGCCGTCCCCATCGGGCGGGTCCCCGCGAGCTCCCTGCTGGCTGTCCTCTTATGGGTGGGTCCACGCGAGCCCCTGCTCGTTGTCCCCTTAGGGGAGGGTTTACGCGTTCCCTGCCCGCTGTCCCCTTCGGGGCGGGTCTGAGATGCTTCCTGTTCGCTACTCCCATCGGGACGGTTCTACGCATGTCCCTGGCCGCTGCCCCAATCGGGAAGGGTCCACGTGTGCCCCTGCCTGCTGCCCCCATTGGGGCTGACCCACGCGTGCCCCCTGCCTGCTGTACTCCTATGAGGTGGGCCAGAAACAGCCCTCCCCACGTTAAGACAAGCGGAACCGATGGTTCCTTTAGGGTGGGCTGGGGACCCTCCTGCCTGCTTGACCCTATTAGGGCAGATCTGGCCTCGCTGACTGGGGCTTGTTCCATCTCTCTCTGGGACACGTACACCTCCAAAGAACAGAGCCCAGAGCCCCTATTGGGGCGTTTCCGGGGGGCCACATCTAACAGCCTTTCCGTGCCTGCTGCTGTTCTTAAGCTTGAAGTCAGCTAGGCTCCAGGCCCCAATCAGACCCCTGCTCTGGGACCGGCGGTGTGTGGGGTCCAGGACCAGATGGACCCGGAGGAAGCTTTCTTGGGAGGGAATGGGGCAGAGCTCTGAGGAAGTCTCTGAGTGGTGACTTCTCACTCCCCGCCTCAGTTCCTCAAATGGAAAATGGTCCGGGCGCAGTGGCTCACGCACTAATCCTAGCCATTTGGTAGGCCAAAGTGGGCAGGTCACTCGAGCTCAGGAGTTCGACACCAGCCTTGCCAACATGGCAAAACCCCATCTCTAGAAAAAATTAGCCAGGTGCGGTGGCCTGTGCCTTGTGGTCCCAGCTATTTGGGAGGCTGAGGCAGGAGAATCGCATGAGCCCAAGAGTTCAAGGCTGCAGTGAACTATGATTGCACTCCAACCTGGGCAGAGTGAGAACCTGCCTCTAAAAAAAAAAAAAGAAAGAAAAGAAAATGAGTGTATTAATATAATTCTCGCTTTGGGTTTGTCTCTGAAGGTTAACCAGTTAATGGATGTGAAGCTGGTGTGTCTGACATGGGCTTGGCGCTGAGTGATTTTAATATTATTATTAGTGTCATTGCTGGTGTTACTGTCAATTTATTGGGTAGAATTAGCTCTTGGCACTACAGTCAAACTAAACTCCCAGATGTCCCTTTTCCTTCCACCTGATTCCCCAGTCTGGATAATCCAAATACACAATTGGTACTTAACAAACGTTTGTTGAATGAATGAATGACTATAGCCCACTGAGGTGGGTGTGGTTCAGAGGAGAGGATGAAGGAAGGCAGGGGAGGGGGTTTATGAGATATACTGGTTTTTTTTGAGAAGGAGTCTTACTCTGTTGCCCAGGCTGGAGTGCGGTGGCTCCAGCAACTGCAATGATCTCAGCTCACTGCAACCTCCACCTCCTGGGTTCAAGTGATTCTCCTGCCTCAGCCTCCCGAGTAGCTGGAATTACAGGCTCGAGCCACCATGCCCGGCTAATTTTTGTACTTTTAGTAGAGACAGGGTTTCACCATTGTGGCCAGGCTGGTCTCGAATTCCTGATCTTGTGGTCTACCCGCCTCAGCCTCCCAAAGTGCTGGTATTACAGGTGTGAGCCACTGTGCCCTGCTGAGGTACTCTTCTGTTTTGATATAGGGTTTTACATTCATCGCCTAGGCTGGAGTGCAGTGGCGCAATCCCGGCTCACTGCAACTTCCCCGTCCTGGGCCAAATGATTCTCCTCCTTCAGCTTCCTGAGTAGATGGAACTACAGACATACACCACTGCACCAGATAATTTTTGTATTTTTTCTGAAGACAGCATTTTGCCATATTGACTAGGCTGGTCTTGAACTCCTGAGCTCAAGTGATCTGCCTGCCTCAGCCTCCCAAAGTGCTGGTATTACAGGCATGAGCCACTGTGCCCAGCCAACATTTGTTGGTGTGAGCTACTGTGCCCAGCTGGTTTATGATATATACATTTTATTTTATTTTATGTATTTATTTATTTTGAGACGGAGTTTCACTCTTGTTATCCAGGCTGGAGTGCAATGGCGCAATCTCAGCTCACTGCAACCTCCGCCTCCTGGGTTCAGGCAGTTCTCCTGCCTCAGCCTCCTGAGTAGCTGGGATTACAGGCACGCGCCACCATGCCCAGCTAATTTTTTGTATTTTTAGTAGAGACGGGGTTTCAGCATATTGACCAGGATGGTCTCGATCTCTTGACCTCGTGATCCACCCGCCTTGGCCTCCCAAAGTGCTGGGATTACAGGCGTGAGCCACCACGCCTGGCCTACATTTTATTTTTAAAATGATTTATTTATCACTTTTTGAGACAGAGTTTATAATATTTATAATAAATATTATTATTTTTCTTTCTTTGAGACAGAGTTTCCCTCTTGTTGCCCAGGCTGGAGTGCAGTGTCACAATCTTGAACCTTCCAGGTTCAAGTGATTCTCCTACCTTAGCCTCCCAAGTAGCTGGGATTACAGGCATGCACCACCAAGCCTGGCTAATTTTGTATTTTTAGTAGAGGGGTTTCTCCATGTTTGTCAGGCTGGTCTCGAACTCCCAACCTTAGGTGATCTGCCCACCTCGGCCTCCCAAAGTGCTGGGATTACAGGCATGAGCCACCACGCTATTTATTTATTTTTTGAGACAGAGTCTTTCTCTGTTGCCCAGGCTGGAGTGAAGTGGTGTGATCTTGGCTTACTGCAACCTCCACCTCCTGGGTTCAAGCGATTCTCCTGCCTCAGCCTCCCAAGTAGCTGGGATTATAGGTGCCCACCACCATGCCTAGCTACTTTTTATATTTTTAGTAGAGACAGGGTTTTGCCATGCTGGCTGGGCTGGTCTCAGACTCCTGACCTCAGGTGATCCACCTGCCTCAGCCTCCTGAAGTGCTGGGATGACAGGTGTGAGCCACTGCGCCTGGCCTGATATATATGTTTAAAAAATTAAGTGAATGTGGTTTGCATGATCCTAGATGGCTGAGTAATAAGCCCGCCAGTCACTAATTATCTTTCCAAAATTAGCTTGTTTAATCCCTTCCACTTACCAGTAAACTCGGCCCTGTTCTTACCTCCATGTTACTGGTGAGGAAACTGACATGGAAACAGGGAAGTGTCCTGTCTGGGGCTACATAGCTGGTGGGAGGCCAGTTGGGATGTAGACCTTGACTTGCCTCGCTGCTGCCTGGTCCTGCCTCAGTCTCCCCAACTGTGCTGCCTGTCCCCTCTCCCTGCAGGGTGGCTACAGACCACAACATGGACAACACGTCAACTGTGCTGCGGGAGTGGCTGGTGGCTGTGAAGAGTTTGTACCATTCTGTGGAGTGGCGGCCAGCGGAGGAGCCCAGGTGAGCGCCTTTCCCTGCTCCTGGTCTGATTGAGCTGCGCCTCTGCTCACACACCCTCCGTGGCTCCCCATTGTCCCAGGACAGAACTACAGGCCCTCGGTCCCTCCCTCTCCAGCCCAGCTGCGCAGCATTAAGGTACTCTTGACTCTCCCTCAGCTTCACAAATGGACCATAATCCTCCCACTAAACCTTTGCCTAAGCGGTTCCCGCACCTAGAATTCCTTCACTCCCGTTTTCTTCTGGCCACGCCCACTGCTTTGTTCCTGGCTTCAGCGACTCAATCTTGGTCCCAGCACTGGCTCTGCTGTTTAGCTGCCCCTGAGGCCCTGGGCAGCATGAACTACCCCCTGCCCCTCCCACCCAGTTCCTTTCTGGGCTTTTTTTTTTTTTTTTTTGAGATAGAGCTTTGCTCTTTTTGCCCGGGCTGGAGTGCAATGTGGAGATCTCAGTTCACCGCAACCTCTACCTCCCGGGTTCAAGCAATTCTCCTGCCTCAGCCTCCCGAGTAGCTGGTACTACAGGCCCACGCCACCACGCCTGGCTAATTTTTTGGTATCTTTAGTAGAGATGGTGTTTCTCCATCTTGGTCAGGCTGGTCTTGAATTCCTGACCTCAGGTGATCTACCCGCCTCAGCCTCCCAAAGTGTTGGGATTACGGTGTGAGCCACTGCGCCTGGCCTTTCTGTGTTTTTTTTTTTTTTTTTTTTTTTCGAGACAGGGTCTCACTCTGTCGCCCAGGCTGGAGTGCAGTAGAGTGAACATAGCTTACTGCAGCCTTCAACTCCTGGGCTCAAGCCATCCTCCCGCCTCAGCCTCCTGAGTAGCTGGGACTACAGGGATATGTAACCATGCCCAGCTAAATGTTTTTGTAGTTTTTGAAGAGATAGGGCCCCCCTGCATTGCCCAGGCTGGTCTTGAAGCACTGGCCTCAAGTGATCCTCTCACCTCTGCCTCCCAAAGTGCTGGGATCGCAGGCATGGCCACTGCACTGGGCCCCTCTCTGAGCATCTTCCCTTCCCTCCAGCCCTTAGCACAGGCTGCGCCTCCAGCCAGGGACATTCTCCCCACTTCTCTTTTCTTCTCATTTCCTTCCCCCCGCCCCCACTCAGATGAGCTTACATGTCCCCTCCTCCAGGAAGCCCTCTCTGATTATCCCAAAGGCAGCTCAGGCCCTCACTGGGCTTTGATAGTATCTTGTGCTGTCCACATCACAGCTGCCTCTCTGCAGATCCTACCCAGACGAGGAGGGCCCCAAACACTGGTCTGACTCACGCTACGAGCATGTCATGAAATTGCGCCAGGCTGCCCTGAAATCAGCTCGAGACATGTGGGCTGATTACATCCTGGTAAGTTTCTCAGCCGGCTGGCTATGGATCATAGGCAGGTCTGGGTGTCTCCAGGGAAGGCGGAGCAGCAGGATGCCAGGACCATCCTTAACCTCATTTTGCAGAAGGGTAAACTGAGGCTTAGGGAGGGGAGATGAGTTGCTTAAGGTGACATAGTTGGTGAGAGGAGGAGGAGCTGGGGTTCATTTGATCCTTAGCACTAGGAATGAATGGGCTTTTCTGTCCCCAGCTGTCCCCTGTGTTTGGACACTTGGGTCAAGTCCATTTTTTTTTAATTTATTTTTTTTGAGACGGAGTCTCACTCTGTCACCCAGGCTGGAGTGAAGTGTCACAATCTTGGCTCACTGCAACCTCTGCCTCCCGGGTTCAAGCAATTCTGCCTCAGCCTTCAGAGTAGCTGGGACCACAGCCATGCCCGGCTAATTTTTTATTTTTATTTTTGTAGAGGCCAGGCATGGTGGCTCACACCTGTAATCCCAGCACTTTGGGAGGCCGAGGTAGGTGGATCACTTGAGATCAGAGTTCGAGACCAGCCTGGTCAACATGGTGAGACCCCGTCTCTACTAAAAATACAAAAATTAGCTGCAACCTCCGCCTCCTGGGTTCAAGCCATTCTCCTTCCTCAGCCTCCTGAGCAGCCGGGATTACAGGCCCCTGCCATCACACCTGGCTAGTTTTTGCATTTTTAGTACAGCTGGGGTTTCACCACGTTGGCCAGGGTGGTCTCAAAGTCCTGACCCCAGGTGATCTGGCCACCTCTGCCTCCTAAAGTGCTGGGATTACAGGTGCAAGCTGCTGTGCCCAGCCCATCTCTTTAAAAAAAAAAAAAAAAAAAAAAAAACAGAAAAGAAAAAAAAAGGAATGAAGTGAGCGAAGTGATTATGACGCAGTGGTGGCTAGAGGTCCGCGCACACAGCCAGTGGAGGCACTTGGCATCTACTTGGAGGGGAATGGGGAGCCATGGAGAGTGTGTGAGTGGGGGAGGTCTGTGTTCTGATTTATGATTTTCACAAGCCACCGTGGGCCAGGTGCAGTGGCTCACACAACGCATGTAATCCCAGCTCTTTGAGAGGCTGAGGCGAGTGGATTACTTGAGTTCAGGAGTTCGAGACCAGCCTGGCCTACGTGGTGAAACCCCATCTCTATTAAAATACAAAAATTAGCTTGGCATGGTGGCATGTGCCTGAAACCCCAACTTGGGAGGCTGAGGCAGGAGAATTGCTTGAACCCAGGAGGCGGAGGTTGCAGTGAGCTGAGATGGTGCCACTGCACTCCAGCCTGGGCAACAGAGTGAGACTCTGTCTCAAAAATAATAGTTTTTAAAAGCCACTGTGGCTGCTGTGGGTAGCAGGAGGACGGAGTGGAGGCCAGAGCAGGGTGCCAGCAATTGATGGATGAGGCTGTGGAGAAAGGCAGGGGTTGAGGATGCATCAGGAGGTGAAGGGGATAGGCTCTGCTTTGGGACTGGATGTAAGGGTGCTGGGGAGAAAGGAACGGGGACAGTGCCATGTCTGGGAGGAGGGTGGGGCTCCTGAGGAGACCCTTTCACTTGGTGCCTTATCAGACCATTTTATAGGAGAGGAAACAGTGGCTGACAGGGGGAGGGGACTTGCGTTGGTGGGGTCTCAGAACTGGCAAGGCAGAAAGGTGGATCTGGAGCCTTCCAGAGCCTTCTGGCACAAAGCTGCCTTGTCCTGCCTTGGATTTTGCCTTTGTGGTTTGAGTTTGCCTGCCTTTAGCTTCTTTCCCCCTCAGCACACCGGGTGGAGCTCAAACTGCTGGTTCAAAACTCAAAGTGTCTTTTGACACAATATTTTTTTTTTTTTTTTGAGACAGAGTCTCCCTCTGTCACCCAGGCTGGAGTGCAGTGGCGTGATCTCAGCTCACTGCAACCTCCATCTTCTGGGTTCAAGCAATTCTCCTGCCTCAGCCTCCTGAGTAGCTGGGATTACAGGTGCGCGCCACCACGCCCGGCTAATTTTGTATTTTTAGTAGAGATGGGGTTTCACCATGTTGGCCAGGCTGGTCTCGAACTCCCGACCTCAGGTGATCCGCCCGCCTCAGCCTCCCAAGTGCTGGGATTACAGGTGTGAGCCACCGCGCCCGGCCCTAATGTTTTAAAATGAATATTTGGAGGGCCCCTTTCTCTTTTTACAAAAGCTATGGATGTTACTTGTAGGAAAAAAAAAATAAGAGAAATATACGGGCCAGGTGTGGCTCACGCTGATCATCCCAGCTCTTCTGGAGGCCAAGGCCGGAGGATTGTTTGAGGTCAGGAATTCAAAAGCAGCCTGGGCAACATAGTGGGACCCCATCTCTACAAAAAGTAAAAAAAGAAAAAATTAGCTAGGTTTACTGGTGTGTGCCTGTAGTCCCAGCTAGTTGGGAGGCTGAGGTGGGAGGATTGCTTTAGCCCAGGAGTTGGAGGCTACAGTGAAGCATGATTGTGTCACTGTACTCCAGCCTGGGTGACAGGGTGAGACCTTTTCTTAAGTTTCGTGTGTGTGTGTGTGTGTGTGTGTATACATACATGTATGTATGTATGTATAGATATATATGTGAAGTTTAAGAAAGGAAAACATCTACTTTTTTTTTTTGAGACACAGTCTCACTTTGTCACCCAGGCTGGCATACAGTGGCATGATCTCAGCTCACTGCAACCTCTGCCTTCTGGATTCAAGCTGTTTTTCTGCTGCAGCCTCTGAAGTAGCTGGGGTTACAAGTGCCCACCACCATGCCCAGCTAATTTTTTGTATTTTTAGTAAAGATGGGGTTTTGCCATGTTGGCCAGGCTGGCCTCAAACTCCTGACTTCAAGTGATCTGCCCGCCTCAGCCTCCCAAAGTGCTGGGATTACAGGCGTGAGCCACTGTGCCCGGCCAGCATCTAAATTTTAATTGTATCTCTTGGAGAGATTCACTCTTACCTATTTCTCGTTTGTTTTAATGGAAGTCAGTTCACATAACATAAAATTATTTTGAAGCATATAGTTCAGTGGCATTTAGTATGTTTGTTTGTTGTGCGAGCACCACCTCTAATTCTAGAACACTTTCATCCCCCGGAAGAAAACCCCGACCCCATCAGCAGTTGCTCCGCTCCGCATTCTCCCCCAGCTCCTGGCAGCCACTCATCTGTTTCCTGTCTATGGCTTTGCCTGTTCTGGGAGTTTCAGATCAATGGAATCTCACACTGTGGGGCGTTTCGTGTCTGGTTTCTCTCACTCAGCATCGCGTTTCAGGGCTTTTTACAGCATGGATCAGTGCTTCCATCCTTTGTATGGCTGAATCTCATTCCATTGTCCGGCTGACCTCATTGTTGAACCACTCATCCGTTGATGGACACTTCAGTCGCTTCCACCTTTTTTTTGGCTGTTGAGATCCTTTTTTTTTTTTGAGTTAGAGTCTCGCTCTGTCGCCCAGGCTGCAGTGCGGTGGCGCAATCTCGGCTCACTGCAATCTCCGCCTCCTGGATTCAAGCGATTCTCCTGCCTTAGTCTCCAGAGTAGCTGAGATTATAGGCATGCGTCACCATGCCCAGCTAATTTTTTTTTTTTTTTTGTATTTTTAGTAGAGATGGGTTTTCACCATGTTGCCCAGGCTGGTCTCGAACTCTTGACCTCATGTGATCTGCCCACCTTGGCCTCCCAAAGTGGTGGGATTACAGGTGTGAGGCATTGCATCCTGCCTGGCTATTGGGATTTTGACATGAACCTAGGTATACAAAGACCTGTTTGAATTATCTGGGCATGGTGGTACTTGCCTGTAATCCCAGCTACTCAGGAGGCTGAGGCGGGAGCATCACTTGAACCCAGGAGGTGTAGGTTGCAGTGAGCCAAGATCACACGCCACTGCACTTTAGCCTGGGTGACAGAGCAAGACTCTGTCTCAAACACAAACACCAAAGACCTGTTTTCGTCCGTGCTCTCAATTCTCTTGGCTCATACCTAGGAATGGAATTCCTGGATCATGTAGTAATTCTATGTTTAGCTTTTTGAGGAACTCTGCCACACTGATCTGGCTGTTTGTTCTAAATCAATATTAAAAGGTCACAGATTCCAACATCCAGAGGGACCAGATAGGGGATGTAACATGAACCACAGGGCTTGTCCTAAGATGCGACCACCTCCCCTCTGCAACTGAAGGTTTCCACGTGGAAATGGTATTCCCAGGTTAGTGGGAAATGCTGGAGTTCTAGTTTTTGTTGTGGTTCATGGCAGTTCATCCAAATATTCCAAATGATGCTGCGTGGGTTACAAAGCATCTCTGTGGACTAAGAGTAAAAGAAAAAAAAACCCAGGCCGGGCGTGGTGGCTCACACCTGTCATCCCTGCACTTTGGGAGGCCGAGGCAGGTTTGGCACTTGAGATCAAGAGTTCAAGACCAGCCTGGCCAACATGGTGAAACCCCGTCTCTACTAAAAATACAAAAAAAATTAGCTGGGCATGGTGGCGTGTGCCTGTAATCCCAGCTACTCTGGAGGCTGAGGCAGGAGAATTGCCTGAACCCAGGAGGCGGAGGTTGTGGTGAGCCGAGATCGTGCCATTGCACTGCAGCCTGGGTAACAAGAGCGAAACTCCGTCTCAAAAAAAAAAAAAATCAGCCAGATGCGGTGGCTCACACCTGTAATCCCAGCACTTTGTGAGGCCAAGGCGGGAGTATCTTCTGAGGTCAAGAGTTCGAGACCAGCCCAACCAACATGGAGAAACCCCATCTCTATTTACATGGTCCAGCCCTGGAGGGTCTAGTGGGTGTTCTTTTGGGTGAGGAGGCGATAGATCGCAGGAAAGAAAGACACAGATAATAGAACTCAGCTGGGCCTGGCGACCACTGCCACCAAGGCACAGAGTCCAGGAGTGGCCCCGAATGCCTGGACGCGCTGATACTTATTGTATACAAGGCAGGGGGGCAGGGTAAGGAGAGTGACTCATCTGACGTGATGGATAGGGTCCAGCAAATCACATGCTTACAGTACAGGGGCCCCTCCCTTTCAGGTAGCCGCTGCAAGGAGGGGAGGCACATACATACGTCAGCATCCAGCATCCTTCTAAGCACTTGTCAGAAAGATCAAAGGCTTTTAGGATTCCCCTACTGTTACTTCTCACAAGTTCTACGAACTTAAAAGGAGAGCCAGGTGGGGAAGCAGAACATGAAAGTGGACAAGGATGGTGGCCATGGGAGCACAGCACCACAGAGAGGCATTTAAGGCCCTGGATGTCTGCAGGCCGGGCCGGCTAGTGTCAGACCTTCCTTGAGAGCTGGACAGAGCAGAGTGTTCTCTGAACTCCCCAGTGAAAGGGAAACTCCCCCTCACGGCCTGCTAAGCACCGGGCGCCTCCCCAGGCGCTGGTGCTACCGCAAGGCATTTACTCTCGTCTCCTGATCACTTCTCACAGTTTCCCTTCAGTTCCAAATTATATTTCACCCGATTATTTCTGGGCTAAAAGACTAAAATGATTCTGTGCTGTAAAGCAAAGATCGATAAAGAATCATGATTTAATAGGATGGATTATATAATCGATTGTCATTGCTAAAACTAAGTAATCAGTTATTGATTATGCTGGGACAGATTGTGCCTTCAGTTTATTGCCTTGGCACCTGGGCAACTTTCTCCCCACATCTACTAAAAATACAAAATTAGCCAGATGTGGTGGCGCATGCCTGTAGTCACAGCTACTCGGGAGGCTGAGGCAGGAGAATCGCTTCAACCCAGGAGGCGGAGGTTGCAGTGAGCTGAGATCACACCACTGCACTCCAGTCTGGGTGACAGAGCAACACTCTGTCTCAAAAAAAAAAAAAAAAAAGCTTTTGCTGCCTTCTTGTTATTGGTTGTTCGTCCACTTCTCAGGCTACCTCGGTGCCTACAGTTTCCTTTGAAGGAACTCCAGACCTTCGCTTTATTTCCATGATCCAGGACATCCTGCAGGCCCCCAAGATGGGGTCCCTGCTCTGTTTCAGCCAGTGTGGGGGGTACTTCCAGAGGTCTTTGCCAGCCCTCCAGGGCTCTGGCCTTTGCCCCAGCTGTTCTGAGCAGTAGCCTGACCTGGGGTCACTCCAGCCGCCCATGCTGATGCCATGTGGGGCATTCTGCAGTTCGTAGACGCAGACAACCTGATCCTTAACCCCGATACGCTGAGCCTGCTCATCGCTGAGAACAAGACGGTGGTCGCCCCCATGCTGGATTCCCGGGCTGCGTACTCCAACTTCTGGTGTGGAATGACTTCCCAGGTAGAGTGAGGGCCGGGGGACTGGCGGGACTGGGCTGAGCAGGTGGGTGCTGTGGCTGGAGTGTAACTTACACAACCTCGTGGGGAGCATTTTACAAAAATCATGATGGAAGCTGGGCGTGGTGGTTCGCACCTGTAATCCCAGCACCTGTAATCTCGGCTCACTGCAACCTCCGTCTCCCGGGTTCAAGTGGTTCTCCTGCCTCCACCTTCTAAAGTGCTGGGATTACAGGCATGAGCCGCTGCGCCCGGCCAAGGCTCTTTGTTCTTGGCCGGGCCTGGCCGCAGATCCCACACTGGGCTTGAATCTGAGTCTCTGGGGCCACAGGCACACACCGTTGTGCTCAGCTCTCTACCTGGTCCTGTTCTGTGTCTCCCACTATTGCCTCCATCCTCACCTTTCGAGACCCCCATGCAGAACTCTGCCTCTCGCCCCATAGGGCTACTACAGGCGCACACCCGCCTACATCCCCATCCGCAAGCGAGACCGCCAGGGCTGCTTTGCGGTTCCCATGGTGCACTCGACCTTCCTGATCGACCTGCGGAAGGCGGCGTCCAGGAACCTGGCCTTCTACCCACCCCACCCCGACTACACCTGGTCCTTTGACGACATCATCGTCTTCGCCTTCTCTTGCAAGCAGGCCGGTGCGTACGTGAATGGTCTGCCGGCCGGGCACAGTGGCTCAAGCCTGTAATCCCAGCACTTTGGGAGGCCGAGGCGGGCAGATCACAAGGTCAGGGATTCGAGACCTGCCTGGCCAACATAGTGGAACCCTGTCTCTACTAAAAATACAAAAATTCGCCCAGTGTGTCTGTCGCCTGTAATCCCAGCTACTTGGGAGGCTGAGGCAGGAGAATCGCTTGAACCCGAGAGGCAGAGGTTGCAGTGAGCTGAGGTCGTGACTTTATACTCAAGCTTGAGCAACAGTGCAAGAGTCCATCTCAAAAAAAAAAAAATAACCAGAAAATCTATTGGTTGGTCAGGTGAAGTGGCTTATGCCTGTAATCCCAGCTAAGGTTGATGGATCATTTGAGGTCAGGAATTTGAGACCATCCTGGCCAACATGGTGAAACCCCATCTCTACTAAAAATACAAAAATTAGTCGGGCATGGTGGAGCACGCTTGTAATCACAGCTACTAGGGAGGCTGAGGTGGGAGGATCACGTGAATATGGGAGGCAGAGATTGCAGTGAGCTGAGATGGCACCACTGCACTCAAGCCTAGGAGACACAGTGAGATTCCGTCTCAAGAAAAAGAGACCTATTAATTGAATGTTACTATTATTTTTTACTTTATATAAACTTATAGAGCACAAGTATACTTTTATTACATGTATAGATTGTGAAGTGGTGAAGTCAGAGTTTTGGGGCCTCCATCCGCCAAATAATATACATTGAACTCTTTACACAATTTTCTTTTCTTTTTTTATTATTTTGGGACAGAGTTTTGCTCTTGTCGCCCAGGCTGGAGTGCAGTGGTGCAATCTCAGCTCACCACAACCTCTGCCTCCCAGATTCAAGTGATTTTCCTGCCTCAGCCTCCGGAGTAGCTGGGGTTACAGGCAGGCGCCATCACCCCTGGCTCAAGTTTGTATTTATAGTAGAGACAGAGTTTCTCCACGTTGGCCAGGATGGTCTCAAACTCCTGACCTCAACTGATTCACCCCCCTCGGCCTCCCATAGTGTTGAGATTACAGGCGTAAGCCACGGCGCCTGGCCACTTCTCCTGATTTCTACAGCCGAGCATATATTAATTGTTTAATTAGGAAGGCTGGTGTTTAAAGACACAGACAGCCTCATGCAGACTTCTTTACTGGAAACCAGGGGTTGGCAAACTGACCCACGGGCCAAGCCTGGCCCACTGATAGCTTTTATACCACCACAAGCTTACAACAGTTTTTATATTTTATTTTTATTTTTATTGTTTTAGAGACACAGTCTCACTATGTCACTCAGCCTGGGGTGATCCACCCACCTTGGCTTTTAAAGTGCTGGGATTACAGGCATGAGCCACCGCGCCCGGCCGAGAGCAGGTCTTGCCCAGGCTGGGCTCAAACAGCCGACCTCAAGTGATCCTCCCGCCTTGGCCTCCTGAAGCCCTGGATGGAAGGCGTGAACCACTGGGCCCGGCCCATTTTAACATGTGTCTGTTGCTTCCCTGCCCACTGCAGAGGTACAGATGTATGTGTGCAACAAGGAGGAATATGGCTTCCTGCCGGTGCCGCTGCGTGCCCACAGCACCCTCCAGGATGAGGCCGAGAGCTTCATGCACGTGCAGCTGGAGGTCATGGGTGAGTCTGCCCACACGCCGCCCTGGGAGGGGCTGGGTTGCCTCCCTTTCACTGATGTCTTGAATCCATCCTGTGAGCACTGATGGAGGGCCAGACAGATGCCGATCCCTGCGGGGGGGTGCTGGGTGCAAGGGCACGTGAGAATGAGGTGGAGGATTGTCCCTGCTCTCAGAGTGCTGGTTTCCAGGCAGCTGTATACAGCCTGCTCGGGGTTGTCGGGTGGGCTTCCTGGAGGAGGTGGCATTAAGGAGCAGGGTGAGTAATTAGTTCACCAGCAAGGGGATTGCAGCCGGAGGTGGGCAAAGGCCAGGAGGCTGGAAAGGACATGAACTTGGGGAATAGGCAAGGTCAGTGGACCCCTGGGGTTGGTAGCCAGGGCTAGCGTAGATGGCCTCAGAGACCAGGCTAAAAAAGGGACCTTCCCCCTGAGGACAGTCAGGAGCTATGGAGGGTGTGGGAGCTGAGAGGACGGCAGGTTTTCACGAAAGAACTGCATGTAGGCCGGGCGTGGGGGCTCACACCTGTAATTCCAGCACTTTGGGAGGCCAAAGTGAGGATTGCTTGAGCCCAGGGGTTCAAGATCAGCCAGGCAACATAGCAAGACCCCATCTCTATATAAAAAAATTATGTTAATTAGCCAGACATGGTGTTACATGCCTGTAGTCCTAACTACTCAGGAGGCTGAAGTGGGAGAATCCCTTGAGCCCAGGAGTTGGAGGTCGCAGTGAGCCATAATTGTGCCACTGCAATGCAGCCTGAGCAATAGAGCAAGACTTTGTCTCAATCAATCAATCAGTCAATCAATTTCTCAGCTCTTTGGGAGGTCAAGACAGGCGGATCCCTGGAGCCCAGTAGTTTGAGAACAGTGTGGGCAACGTGGTGAAACCCTGTCTCTACCACAAGAAAATATATATATACAAAAATCAGCCAGGTGTGATGGTGCGCACCTCTGGGCCCAGCTACTTGGGAGGTTGAGGCGGGAGGAGGATCCCTTGAGCCCAGAAGGTTGAAGCTGCGGTGAGCCGTGATCGCGCCACTGCACTCCAATCAATCAATCAATCAATCTCAATCATAAAAATCCGTAAACTATGCGGTGGTCTTGGGATAGTGCTCCCATCTCAGCCATTTCTAATGTGGGCTTCTCCCTGCACTGGGTGCAGAAAGCCCTGATGATGCCACTTCCGTTCCCACCACTGCACAGATGGAGACTGGGTGGGAGGGGTGAGGCCTCCGTCCCCGGGCTCAGTTTTCCCAGCCTCACCTATTTCTGAACGACTCTATCTGCGGCTACCCCTGGTGGCTCAAGATGGAATGGCACCCTGCCCTTTGTGTTTGGGGGAGACTTTTTTTTTTTTTGAGTTGGAATCTTGCTCTGTCACCCAGGCTGGAGTGCAGTGGCACAATCTCGGCTCCCTACAACCTTTGCCCCCCAGGTTCAAGCGATTCCCCTGCCTCAGCCTCCCCGAGTAGCTGGGATTACAGATACCCGCCCAACATGCCCGACTAATTTTTGTATTTTTAGTAGAGATGGGGTTTCACTATGTTGGCCAGGCTGGTCTTGCACTCCTGACCTCAGGCGATCCGCCTGCTTCAGCCTCCCCAAATGTTGGCATTACAAGCATGAGCCAACAGTGCCCAGTCTGGGGGAGACTTTTGAGTCATTTTGAGGTGACATCTGGAGACTGCACAGTCACTGGGACAGGCCCCCTAAGATGTCCAGGTCCCGCCTGGCCACAGTCTGGGGTAGTGGGTCTCCATTTATCACCCAGGGACTGAGAAGAAGTCTCTGTGGTTACCAGAGGTTTCCCAGTTTCAGTTCTCACGTATATTTGTGTTGTCATTTCCTTTTTTTGGGGGGGGGGGTGTGAGACAAAGTCTCACTCTGTCACCCAGGCTGGAGTGAAGGGGCACAATCAGTTTATTGCAGCCTCGACCTCCTTGGCTTAAGTGATCCTCCCACCTCAGCCTCCTGAGTAGAGACCACAGGTGCATGCCACCATCTTTGTAGAGATGCTCAGCTAATTTGTTAATTAATTAATTAATTTGTTTTTTGAGATGGAATCTCGCACTGTTGCCCGGGCTGGAGTGCAATGGCGAGGCCTTGGCTCACTGCAACCTCCACCTCCTCGGTTCAAGCGATTCTCCTGCCTCAGCCTCCCACGTAGCTGGAATTACAGGCACCTGCCACCACACCGGCTAAATTTTTGTATTTTTAGTAGAGACAGGGTTTTGCTATGTTGGCCAGGCTGGTCTCAAACTACTGATCTCGTGATCTGCCTGTCTCAGGCTCGAAAAGAGCTGGGATTCCTGGCGTGAGCCGCTGCGCCCGCCGCTCATTTAGTTTGTAGTAGACATGAGGTCATGAGGTCTTACTGTGCTGCCCAGGCTGCCTGTTGTTATTTCTGGTAAGAAAAATGATTCACACTATTGTTAAAAGCTCAGGCATGACAGACACGTGAACATTTTCCTGATTTTTGTGGGCCGGAGCAAACTACACAGAACAGACAGACAGACGGTCTGGAGGTTTCAGATATTTGTGCAGCTACTTCCTATGCTCCCAGTAAAATCCATATTTCTGGCCAGGCGTGGTGGCTCATGCCTGTAATCTCCACACACTGGGAGGCTGACGGGGCGGATCACTTGAACTTGAACTCAGGAGCTCAAGACCAACCTGGGCAACATAGCAAGACCCTGTCTCTATAAAAAATACAGCAATTAGCTGGGCATTTGTGGCTCACACCTGTAGTCCCAGCTACTCGGGAGACTGAGGCTGGAGAATTGCTTGATCCTGGAAAGTGGAAGCTGCAGTGAGCTACGATTGCGCCACTACCCCCTAGCCTGGGCAACAGAGCGAGACTGTGTCTCAAATAAAAAAATTACATTTCTCTGTGTGTTGCAGTGGTGTGATCATAACTCACTGCAGCCTCTGATTCTGGGCTCAAGCCATCCTCCGCTTCAGCTTCCAGAGCAGCTACAACTCCAGATGCATGCCACCAGGCCTAGATAATTTTAGAATATTTTGCAGAGATGGGATCTTGTATGCCCTACCTGTTCTTGAACTCTGGGCTCCAGTGGTCCTCCTGCCGCGGCCTCTCAAGGCTGTGAGTACAGGCAAGCCAAGGTACCTGGCAGTGTTTCTGTTTTTGGAGACGGAGTCCTGTCACCCATGCTGGAGTGCAGTGGCACCATCATAGCTCATCATAGCACCATCTGCAGGCTTGAACTCCTGGGAAGTCCTTCCGCCTCAGCCTCCCACGTAGCTGCTGATCTCCCCCCCCCCACACCCTTTTTTTTTTTGAGGCGGAGTTTCACTATTATTACCCAGGCTGGAGTACAATGGCGCGATCTCGGCTCACCGCAACCTCCGCCTCCCGGGTTCAAGCAATTCTCCTGCCTCAGCCTCCTGAATAGCTGGGACTACAGGCGCACGCCACCATGCCCAGCTAATTTTTGTATTTTTAGTAGAGATGGGGTTTCATTATGTTGACCAGGATGGTCTTGATCTCTTGACCTCATGATCCACCTGCCTTGGCCTCCCAAAGTGCTGGGATTATAGGTGTGAGCCACCGTGCCCGGCCTGATTTCCTCTTTTAATAAGCACACAAGCCATATGGATTAGTGTCCACCCTAACGACCTCATTTTAACTTGATTACCTCGGTACAAAACCTTGTGTCGAAATAGGATCATATCCTGGGGTACCGGTGGTTAGGACTGGGGAGACACAGTTCAACCTATGACATACTGCGTGATCTCATGACATCTCTTCATGAAACCTCTGAGTGCCTTACTGGCCCATTTTATAGATGAGGAAAGCTGAGGCCCAGGCCAATCAAGGTTACACAGCATGCCATCATTTCTTGGTTCATTCTACAAGCAATAATTGAGTGTGTGCCAAGCCCCTGGGTTGGGCACTTGGGACCCAGCGTGAGCAGGCAGACCTGGTGTCCTTCCCAATGGGCTCACAACAGACAGGCACAGGGCCAGGGGGTTAGGGCACCAAGGATGGGAGCTTTGATGGTACAAGTCCAGGTGCTGTAGGGGCCCAGAGGAGGTACCTGGCCCAGCCTGGAGAGGTGGGGGGTGGGGAGGGTCACCCCCATGTCCAGGACATCATAACTGAGAATTAAGGATACAGAGGAGGGAAGGGAAGGGTAGTTCCGGCAGGAACCCAACATGTGCAAAGGCCCTGAGGTAGGAATGGGGGTCTTTGGGCTGGCCTGGGCTTAGAGGCGGGGCTGGAGGGTGGAGTGAAGCTGGAGCCTGGGGCGTGGCCAGGACTTAGAAGCGGGGCTAGGGACTTGGTGAGGCTGGGGCCTGGGGCGGGGCTATGGGCAGGGTGAAGCTGCAGTCTGGGGCGTGGCCAGGGCTTAGAGGCGCGGATGGGGGTCCGGGTGAATCTGGGCCTGGGTGTGGCCAGGGCTGAAAGGCGGAGCTGGGAGTAGAGTGAAGCTGGAGCCTGGAGCGTGACCAGGGCTGAGAGAACTGGGCTGGGGAGTGGGGTGAAGCTGGGCCGGGGCTGTGGCCAGGACTGAGGCGGGGCTGGGGGAGTGGAGTGAAACTGAAACCTGGGGCAGGGCCAGGCTGTGCGGAGTTCAAGTGACAAGGGAAGGGCGCCTAGAGAGCTGTGCTGATGTGGGCAGAGCAAAGTCACGTTTGTGGGCAAAGCCAGGCCTACTGGGAGCCATGGAGCAGGTGGGGAAAGCGTACTGGAGAGAGGCTGGAGGCCCCTGCCTCAGCGACTCCTCGACGTCTCTGCCCCACAGTGAAGCATCCGCCACCGGAGTCCTCCCGCTTCATCTCAGCGCCCACCAAGACGCCAGACAAGATGGGCTTCGACGAGGTGGGGTGGGCCTTCCCTGGAGGCGGGGCGAAGGCTGGGGGGCGCTTGCTTGCAGGGGTTCATCTGGCTCCGGGCACTCCCGGCTGCAGGTCTTCATGATCAACCTGAAGCGGCGGCAGGACCGGCGGGAGCGCATGCTGCGGGCACTGCAGGAGCAAGGGATCGAGTGCCGGCTGGTGGAGGCCGTGGACGGCAAGTGAGTCCGAGGTCTGGAGGGGTGTGGGATTGCGGGTCCGCACGTGGGTGTGGGTGTGGGTGTAGACCTCGCTGGTAGACGACCGGGGATTCCAATGGGGGCGGGCGTTGGGTACAAACAGGTCAGTGGGCCTCATGGAGGGTAAGTGAATGGGACCTTGGGGAAGGAGTAGATCCTCGCAGATGTAGACCGTGGAAGGCGAGTGAGCCCTGACCCAGGGTTTGCATGCTGCCAGTGTAGACCATGCTGGTGGGGACCGTGGAGGGGAAAGAGTCAGACTCCAGGGGAGGAGAGCAGGTTTGCCCACGAGTGTATACCATGTGCAGGTGAGTGGGGCCCCATGTGTCCAGGAGGGGTGCCGACGCTCCAAGAGGGGGACCAGCTGCTCAATGCTGCAGGGGTAGGGGGGTGGTGGTGGAATGGCAGGGGATGGCAGAATAGCAGGCAGGGCAAGCCTTCCTCATGACCCTCTCCTCCTCCTCTCCAGAGCCATGAATACCAGCCAGGTGGAGGCACTGGGGATCCAAATGCTGCCTGGCTATCAGGACCCCTACCATGGCCGGCCCCTCACCAAAGGCGAACTGGGCTGCTTCCTGAGCCACTACAATATCTGGAAGGAGGTGTGTCCTGAGCGGTGGGCGGGGCCGGAATTATGACTCTAGATCTCCTCGGAGATTTGGAGGAGGAAGGGGTTGAAGGAGTTAGTTGCCCAAAGCCCCAGCCAGGTGGCCATGCAGCCAGCCTCAGCCGTGGGACCCACGGCCTCTTTTTAGTGAATGATTCACCAAACCAGCTGTATGAACCGCAGGTGTGTCTGCCAATCCTTCCATTGTGCAGATGTGGGAACTGAGGTTGTGGGGAGGGGTGAGCCCTTTTGAGCAGCAGGTGGGATCTGGGGCCTGGGATCTGTAAACGCAGGTTTTTCACTCCCAGCCTGATTTCCATGCTTGGGGTTTAGTAATAGAAGTCATGGCCACAGAGCCCCGTTCAACCAGCACCTGCCCAGTGCCAGGGGCACCCCACCAGCCCAAGCATCCTCAGCCATCCGCAGGGTGAGAGGCTGCGACTGGAGAAGGATATCTGACTGGGATTTGAACTTGGGGCCATCAAGGCTGGGCACGGTGGTGCACACTTGGGATCTCCACTACTTGGGAGGCTAAGGTGGGAGGATGGCTTGAGGCCAGGAGTTCATGGCTGCATGCAGTTGGGATAGTGCCACTGCATTCCAGTGTGGGCAACAGAGCAAAACCGCATCTCAGAAAAAGCCAGGTGCAGTGGCTCATGCCTGTTACCTCAGCACTTTGGGAGGCTGAGGCGAGCGGATCACCTGAGATTGGAGTTTGAGACCAGCCTGGCCAACATGGTGAAACCTCGTATCTATTAAAAATACAAAAATTGCCCAGGTGTGGTGGTGGGCTCCTGTAGTCCCAGCTACTTGGGAGGCTGAGGCAAGAGAATCACTTGAACCCAAGAGGCAGAGGTTGCAGTGAGCAGAGATCATGTTATTGCACTCCAGCCCGGGCGACAAGAGTGAAACTCCATCTCAAAAACAAAAATTAGCCAGCCGTGGTGGCACATAACTGTAATCCCAGCTACTCAGGAAGCTGAGGCAGGAGAACTGCTTGAACTTGGAAGGCAGAGGTCACAGTGAGCCAAGATCGCACTACTGCACTCCAGCGTTAAAACAAACAAACAAACAAACTTGTGATTATCAAATGTGAAGCCGAATGGGGTTGTGCGGCTGCAAGGCTGAGGCCATGAGGCGTGGGCGTTTGAGGGGCTGAGAGGCTTTCCTCACCTGAGATCCATCATGGGTGGCAGAGGGCAGAGTTTGGATGTCCACGTGCCCCTGGAGCTAGGAGAGGAGGGGAGATGTGTTGGCTTCTCTCCGGGTCTCTCAGAGCTTCTCAAAGCAGAGCTCTGGGCTTTAGGGTCAGGCCTGGCCTTGACTTGGGCTTCCTCACTCAGGTGGTGGACCGGGGGCTGGAGAAATCGCTTGTGTTTGAGGACGACTTGCGTTTTGAGATCTTCTTCAAGAGGCGCCTGATGAACCTCATGCGGGATGTGGAGCGGGAGGACCTCGACTGGGACCTCATGTGAGTGGGGGCTCTGAGGGTGGAGTGAAGCTGGGGCCTGGGGCAAGGCCAGACTTAGAGGTAGGGCTGAGGGCAGGGTGGAGCTGGGGCCTGGGTACACAGCCAAGGCTTAAGAGATGGGGCTGGGAGGCGGAGTGAAGCTGGGTCCCAGGGGCGTGGCCAGAGCACTGCAGCTGCGCCTTGAGCCTGTATGTCTGGGTGTGATCAGGGTGGAAGGCGTGGCCCGGGGCGTGGCCAACTCCTGGAAGCATGGCGGGAGGGCTCACGTGGTCCCTGGGCCTGCGAGCACTGTCAGGGCTATAGCCTATAGGGAAGGGCCTTGGAAGGATCACCCAGAGCTCAAAAGGCCTCGCCAGAAGCCTGCAGGCTTGGTCAGGGCTTAGAGACTTGACAGGTCTGTGGAGTTGGGTGTAGTTAAGATTTGACCAGCAGCCTGTGGGTGTGGCTGAAAAGCATGGGGGCGTGGTCAGGAAGGACGTGCTCAAAGCTGGAGGTGTGGCTGAAGAGCGTTGGGGCGTGACCAGGGCACCCGGGTCTTAGACCAGGCCTGGGATGGGAGTACCACCAACCTGTTTTCAGGACTGGAGCCGTCCTTCTGCCCTATAGGTGGGTTGGTTTGTCCCCTCCCTTCCTCCCTCTCTTTCTTTCTCTTCCATGCGCACTGCCCTAATCTGCATTCTGGGGACACTGCCCCATGTGAATAGTAACTACACCCCTTTATTCCTGACTGCTGCCCACATCCGGGCACCTTGCCCACCTCCACCCCCACCGCCCTCTGAACTCAGAGTAGTTTCAGCCTCAGGACGTCTGCGTGATCCTGCTCTCCCTAGCTCCTAATCCTCCATGGCTCCTTTATGCCCTTGGGAAAAACTCACGCTCCTCCCCATGACCCCCAGACCCCTGAGCTCCTGCATTTACTCCATCCAATCACAGCTTCCTCTTATTGCTCCGCAGACATTCTGAGTCTCCTCCCATCTCGGGGTCTGACAGGGGTAACTAGATCCCTGGCTTTCTGGGCAAGCGCCCTTTGGAGGGCGGGAGGAGAGTGACAGGCCAAATTCTGCACCCCAGCTACGTGGGCCGGAAGCGGATGCAGGTGGAGCACCCCGAGAAGGCTGTGCCCCGTGTGAGGAACCTGGTGGAGGCCGACTACTCCTACTGGACCCTGGCCTACGTGATCTCCCTGCAAGGCGCCCGCAAGCTGCTGGACGCCAAGCCACTCTCCAAGATGCTGCCTGTGGACGAGTTCCTGCCTGTCATGTTTGACAAGCACCCAGTGTGAGAGGGGCAGGCGGCTGCTGGGCTGGGGTCTCCAGTGGGTCTGTCCTGGGGGCGGGGGGTGTGAGACTCACAGGCTCTGAGGAGAGGTCTGTTCTTCTGCCCACTTCTCCCTCCGTTTGCCCCCTCCCAGATTTGTCTCCATTTGTATACCCTGTCCATTTCGTCTTTTTTTTTTTTTTTTTTTTTTTGAGACCGAGTCTCTCTCTGTTGCCAGGCTGGAGTGCAGTGGCACAATCTCGGCTCACTGCAGCCTCCACCTCCTGGGTTCAAGCAATTCTCCTGCCTCATCCTCCCAAGTAACTGGGACTAAAGGCACACACCACCAAGCCCGGCTAATTTTTTGTATTTTTAGTAAAGATGGGGTTTCACCATGTTGGCCAGGATGGTCTTGATCTCTTGACCTCATGATCCACCCCCCTCAGCCTCCCAAAGTGCTGGGATTACAGACATGAGCCACCTCGCCCAGCCCACTTATGTCTTTATCCCTGCTGACTTCTTCTTCACCCCCAATTTTTCCTCCAGCTGTCCCCTCCCCCCTCCCCTGAAGCCATTGCTGCCCCTCATTCCCCTCCTGCTCCCCCCAGGTCCGAATACAAGGCCCACTTCTCCCTCCGCAACCTGCGCGCCTTCTCCGTGGAGCCGCTGCTGGTCTATCCCACACACTACACAGGGGACGACGGCTATGTGAGTGACACAGAGACCTCAGTCGTTTGGAACAACGAGCAGGTCAAGACTGACTGGGACCGCGCCAAGTCCCAGAAGATGCGGGAGCAGCAGGCGCTGAGCCGGGAGGCCAAGAATTCAGACGTGCTCCAGTCCCCGCTGGACAGTGCTGCCCGGGATGAACTCTGAGGGGTGGCAGCCAGAAAGCCAAAGCAGCCGTTGCTGGCCCAGTCCCCATGTGCTCACTGAGGACATTGGGGCCACCTCTGGACCCCTTGGCAGGCCACGGAGGGCTCTCCATGTGGGGTGGTGTCCAGCCAGCTCTTGCTAAGCAATCACGTACACAGGCAGCATACGTGGAGTGCCTACCACATGCCAGCAACGGGGCCTGGCACCAGGGAATTGGGATGAACTAAACCCTCTTCATCTGTTCATGTGCCCAACACTTATTAAGCACCTGCGGTATACCAGGTTCCCCTGTTACGGCAGTGAATGAGGCATAATTATTCCCCCCATCAGTGATCGAGTCAGTCATCAGGCAGTTGCTGATCAGATTAAGAAGCAGGCACTAGTGATTCACTCATTTTTAAAATTCACCCAAGGATTTAGTAAGTGCCTGCTGTGTGTTGGGTGACATTTGAGGCTCTGGGAGTTTTTTTTTTTTTTGAGACAGAGTCTCGCTCTGTGGCCAGGCTGCAGTGCAGTGGCTTGATCTCGGCTCAGTGCAACCTCCCTCATCCTCCCTGGTAGCTGGGATTACAGGCATGTGCCACCACACCCAGCTGATTTTTATATTTTTAATAGAGATGGGGTTTCATCATATTGGCCAGCATGGTCTCCATCTCTTGACCTCATGATCTACCCGCTTCATCTTCCCAGAGTGCTGGGATTACAGGCTTGTGCTACTGCACCTGACCTTTTTTGTTTGTTTTAACAAAGAATCTTGCTCTGTCACCCAGGGTGGAGTATAGTGGTGTGATGTTGGTTCACTGCAGCCGATGCCTGCCGGGTTCCAGCGATTCTTGTTTCTCAGCCTCCCAAGTAGCTGGGACTACAGGTGCACACCATCACGTCTGGTTAATTTTCGTATTTTTAGTAGAGAGGGGTTTTCACCATGTTGGTCAAACTGGTCTCAAACTCCTTATCTCAAGTGATCTGCCCACTTCGGGCTCCCAAAGTGCTGGGATTCCAGGCATGAGCCACTGTGCCCAGCCCACGCTCTGGGACTATTGAGATAAATAAGATCCTTCCATCCATTTATTCAAGCACATATTGAGCACCTACTGTGTGCCTGGCATTCACGTCACAGGGATAAGTTCTGGATTCGGTACAGTTTCTGAGTACCTGCGGTGTGCAGGGAGCTGAGCTCTGGGATGGGAATGGAAGCAAACAAGGTACTTTTCACCTTTTTCCTTTTTCCCTCACTGCTAGACGGTGTGGGAACTTTTCCCTCTTTAATTGGCTTCTTGCCCACACACCTCAAGAGCACTGACTGTGTGCCAGGCACTAGTGATACAAGAGTGTGACAGCTGCTCAGTCTGCATTTTTCATCATCCGCTGGGCGTTGGGCTACATGCCAAGTGCCAGGGCATAGAGATGAACGAGATCGGTCCCTTCTACATCCACAAGTATTTGAGCACCGTGTGCCAGGCCTCACAGACTCCCATTTGGGTTGAAGGGTGGTTGACTGATGTTTGATTCCTCCTGTGTCCCTGGTCATCTGAGCTGTGTGCAAATACATCCCCCCATCACCCAAGAGGGAGGGTAGCTCTTCCCCCACCGGGGCAACCACAGGTCCTGGTGGCCCCACGGTCACATGTCAGCCCCCCTGGAGGGGGTGCCCGTTGGAGACAGGGGCTGGGTGTCCCTTGCCCACCCCTGATTCCCTGTGTTTTGCCTCCCTGCCCTTGTGTCTCAGGTGTGATCCCTGCCTGCTTGATGAAGTTGCTCTGTTCAAGCTTTCGGAGGGGTCGTGTGTTTGGGGGCTTTTCGGGGGCTCAACTGCACTGGGGCACTGCCCGTGGCCTGGGCGGGACATTTCCCAACAAGGGCCAGAGGAGGTGCTGTGCCTTCAGCCTGAATCGAATGTCAGAACCAGCCAGCGGTGCTTCACCTTCTGGGGGTAACTTGCTTATATTTTAAATAAACGTTCCTGGTTGGTTTTCACAGAAGTCTGTGGGGTTTTGCTCGGTGTCAGAACACTGCCCACATTCCCCACCCCTGTCTGCCCAACAAGATGTGGGAGGAAACCAGGGTAGGTGCAGTAGAGAAGCTGCCCTGTAGAGAAACTTCCCTGATATAGGCGGGGGACCCACAGCTCTGTCTTGGGTCAACTTCAGGATTCTCCCAGGTGACTCTGAATAAAGATGGGCTGTCATGGTTTGAGTCCCCCAAAAACATCTCAAAGGGCCCAGTGCGGTGGCTCACGCCCGTAATCCCAGCAGTTTGGCAGGCCAAGGTTGGTGGATCACTTGAGGTCAGGAGTTCAAGACCAGCCTGGCCAAAATGGTGAAGCCCCATCTCTACTAAAAGTACAAAAATTAGCCTAGTATAGTGGGAGATGCCTATAATGCCAGCTACTTGGGAGGCTGAGGCAAGAGAATCGCTTGAACCCGGGAGGTAGAGGTTGCAGTGAGCCAGATCAAGTCACTGCCCTCCGGCCTGGGCAGCAGAGCAAGGTGCCCTCAACAAAAAAGGCTGGCCAATGGAGCTACTATGAGGGTACGGTGAGAGCCCTGCGTCCCCTCTCATGCCATAAAACTTCCCCAATCTAGGTGGGGAACCCACAGCTCTGTCTTGGGCCAACTTCAGGATTCTCCCAGATGACTTTGAATAAAGAGAGGCTGTCATGGTTTGGGTCCCCCCAAACAGACCCCAAGATGAGGATTGAAGGGCACTTACGTTGTCAGATAGTGACCCCAGGAACTTGCCGTGGAGCGGTAGGGAAGTGAGACAAGAAGGGAAAGAGTGGTCCCATTCCAGGGACAGAAGGCTAGGGCACTGCAGCAGGACCAGTCGCTTTTGGATTTTCTGGGTCAAATGCTTACAAATTCTCAGGATTATTACACCCTTAGAGTATGTAAGAATACACCCAAGGGCTGGGAGGGGTGGCTCACATCTGTAATCTCAGCACTTTGGGAGGTCAGGAGTTCGAGACCAGCCTCACCAACATGGCGAAACCCCGTCTCTACTAAAAATACCATAAATAAGCCAGGTGTGGTGGTGCCTGCCTGTAATTCAGGAGGCTGAGTCGGGAGAATCGCTTGAACCCGGGAGGTGGAGGTTGCAGCGAGCCGAGATCATCAACCCATTGCACTCCAGCCTGGGCGACAAAAGTGAAGCTCCGTCTCAAAAAAACAGAATACAGCCGAGACTTTTATAAACTAACACAGAGAGGGTGCAATCAGTGTGGAAAAAATCAGAACTTAACAGCTAAGCGAATCGACAAAGCAAAAATCAAATCACACATTTTCAGACACAACTAGCATTTTCTCTTTTTTTTTTTTTTGAGACAGAGTCTTGCTCTGTTGCCCAGGCTGGAGTGTAGTGGCACGATCTCAGCTCACTGCAACCTCTGCCTCCCAGGGTCAAGCGATTCTTCTGCCTCAGCCTCCTAAGTAGCTGGAATTACAGACACGTGCCACTAAGCCCGGCTAATTTTTGTAATTTTAGTAGAGACGGGGTTTCACCGTGTTGGCCAGGCTGGTCTTAAACTCCCAACCTCGTGATCCACCCGCCTCGGTCTCCCAAAGTGCTGGGATTACAGGCGTGAGCCACCGCGCCCGGCACAACCAGCGTCTTCAAAAGCGTTCCAACCTTCCTCATTTGCATGGTGTAAATATAAATGCTTTTTTAAAGAGAGAACCATGTTATATAAACTGATGGAAGCTGCCTTTTTATTGTTCATGGAACGCATTTTTATTTTCTAAGCAAGGGATCAAACTGTACCTTGTTTTGTTTGTTTGTTTGTTTGTTTGTTTTTTGAGACAAAGTCTTGCTCTGTCTCTCAGGCCGGAGTGCAATGGCGCGATCTCTGCTCACTGCAACCTCTGCCTCCTGGGTTCAAGCGATTCTCCTGCCTCAGCCTCCTGAGTAATGGATTGCAGGCGTGCGCCACCACACCTGGCTAATTTTTGTATTTTTTAGTAGAGACGGGGTTTCATTTTGTTGGCCAGGCTGGTCTTGAACTCCTCACCACAAGTGATCCACCCGCCTCGGCCTCCCAAAGCACAGGGATTATAGGCATGAGCCACTGCCCCTGGCCTCCTCCTGGATTTTTAAATTTCAACTGGGTGAATTGAGACAGGTGGGATTGCTGGGTCACGTTTCAGTAGAGGCGGCCATGTTCTTTTTCCTGTTGAGTCCTGTTCATCATCTATTAACCAGAGTGAGTTATCCACATTTTGTTTGTTTGTTTGTTCGTTTTGAGGCAGAGTCTCGTTCTGTCGCCCAGGCTGCAGTGCAACCGCGCGGTCTCTGCTCAATGCAACCTCCGCCTCTCGGGTTCAAGTGACTCTCCTGCCTCAGCATCCGAGTAGCTGGGATTACAGGCACCCACCATTCCGCCCAGCTAATTTTTTTTTTTTTTTTTTTTTGTAGTTTTAGTAGAGATGGGGTTTCATCGTGTTGGCCAGGCTGGTCTCAAACTCTTGACCTCATGATCCACCCGCCTTGGCTTCCCAAAGTGTTGGGATTACAGGCGTGAGCCACCGTGCCTGGCCTATCCACATTCATTATACAGTCCCTTCAATGAAACCTTTTTTTTCTTTGAGGCAGAGTCTCACTTTGTAACCCAGGCAGGAGTGTAGTGGCATAATGCCGGCCCACTGCAACCTCTGCCACCCATCCCCATCCCCTCGCCCTGGGTTCAGGCAATTGTCCTGCCTCAGCCTCCTGAGTGGCTGAGATGACAGGTGCCCACCACCAAGCCCGGCTAGTTTCTTTATTTTTAGTAGAAACGGGGTTTCACCTTGTTAGCCAGGCAGGTCTAACCTCTTGACCTCAGCTGGTCCTCCCACTTCAGCCTCCCAAAGTGCTGGGATGACAGGCGTGAGCCACCGTGCCCGGCCCCTTCTGTGAAACCTTTGTTTCTGGCGATTTTCAGGGAAGTTTCTAAGTCTTACTTAATTCAGTGAGTCTCAACCAGGGGTAATTTTTTTCCCCTAAAATCCTACAATGCTAACACCATCCTACGTTGTACATCCTATGTGATGAAGCTAAATATCCTACGACGGACAGGACGCCCCGGCATACAGAATGTTCCAGTCCAGAATGTTCATAGTGCTGGGACTAAGAATTCCTGAACCCAGCAGGGGGGTGGCCCACGCCTGCACTCCCAGCACTTTAGGCGATTGAGGCAGGCGGACCACTTGACCTCAGGAGTTTGAGACCAGCCTGGGCAAAACACTGTCTCTACAAAAAATAGAAAAACTTAGCTGTGTGTGGTGTCTGTCATATGTCTGTGGTCCCAGCCTCAGGAGTCTGAAGTGGGAGGATTGCTGGAGCCCAGGAGGTCGAGGCTGCAGCGAGCCGAGATTACGCCATTGCACTCCAAACTGGGCAACAAAAAGCAAAACTCCATCTTACAAAAAAAAAAGAACTAGGAGGTGGTGCCTGGGAATTGAATTTAATTTTGAAGGCTCAAGCCTGTAATCCCAGCACTTTGGGAGGCCGAGGCGGGTAGATCACGAGGTCAAGAGATCAAGACCATCCTGGTCAACATGGTGAAACCCCGTCTCTACTAAAAATACAAAAAAAAAATTAGCTGGGCATTGTGGCACATGCCTGTAATCCCAGCTACTCAGGAGGCTGAGGCAGGAGAATTGCCTGAACCCAGGAGGCGGAGGTTGCGGTGAGCCGAGATCGCGCCATTGCCCTCCAGCCTGGGCAACAAGAGCGAAACTCTGTCACAAAAAAAAAAAAAAAAAAAGAAAAGAAAAAATTTGGAAGGCTCCATCCAGTGTTAACTTTGACCTGCACAGTTTCAGGAAGTGATCATTCCTTCTGAAACTTTCTAAACACACACACACACTCACACACTCACACACACTCACACTCACACACACTCACACACTCACGCACACACACACACACACACACAGTGTATTTTTCTTGTCTTTTTTTTTTGAGATGGGAATTTTGCTCTTGTTGCCCAGGCTGGGCACAGCACAATGGCACAATCTCAGCTCACTGCAGCCTCCACCTCCTGGGTTCAAGTGATTCTCCTGCTTCAGCCTCCCAAGTAGCTGGAATGACAGGCATGCGCCACCATGCCCAGCTAATTTTGTATTAGAAACGTGGTTTCTCCATGTTGGTCAGGCTGGTCTCGAACTCCTGACCTCAGGTGATCCGTCTGCCTCAGCTTCCCAAGGTGCTGGGATTACAGGCATGAGCCACTGCAGTTGGCCTCTTGTCTTTTAAAAATTATTATTATTATTATTTTTTGAGACAGGGTCTTGTTCTGTTGCCTAGGCTGGAGTGGGATGGTGCAGTCACAGCTCACTGCAGCCTCCATCTCCCAGGCTCAAGTGATCTTCCCACCTCAGCCTCCTATGTAGCTAGGACCACAGACATGAGCCACTATGCCCAGCTAATTTTTTTTTTTTTGTAGAGATGGGGGTCTTGCTATGTTGCCCAGGCTGATCTTGAGCTCCTGGGCTCCAGCAATCCTCCCCTCTTGGGTTATCAAAACGCTCGATTATAGACATGAGCCACTGCACCCAGCACCTTTATTTACTCCATTTTTTAATTTATTTTGAGACAGTCTCACCCTGTCACCCAGGCTGGAGTGCACTGGTGCGATCTTGGCTCACTGCAACCTCCGCCTCCTGGGTTCAAGCGATTCTCCTGCCTCAGCTTCCCATGTAGCTGGGACTACAGGCACATGCCACCACATCTGGCTAATTTTTTATTTTTAGTAGAGACAGAGTTTCTCCATGTTGGCCAGGCTGGTCTCAAATTCCTGATCTCAGGTGATCCTCCTGCCTCGGCCTCCCAAGTGCTGGGATTACAGGCATGAGCCACCATGCCCCATCCCCACTGGCATCTTTTGCTAGCGGTCCCTTCTCGTGTCACTTCAATCCCTTCAACTCCATTTATTCCCCTAATCCTCTTACCTCCCTCTTCTACAAACACTTGCGATTACATTTAGAGCCCACTCAGATGATCCAGG